GGGGGGGGGGGGGGGGGGGGCATGCTTCTGTGGGATGCTTCATCTGCCTCAGCATCACAGCATTCATGTGCTGCACCTGATACCTTGAGGTATGTAGAAAAAACAGTTAAAGCTGTGTCTATGGCTGAATCACTGATTCTCTGAATCAGCATCGAATTTTCAGATTTGGATTTGTCCAAATCAAATCAGAGACAGTGATCTGAATCAACAAATGGAATCACTGTCCCTGATTCACGCCAAATCCGAATCAAATACAGACCGTTTTGCACACCCCTAGTGGCTGGTCCAGATGACTTCCTGGTTTTTCCTCATTAAGATTCTGGGGGAAGGAAAGTTGTAGAGCTAATATTGGTGGTGACAAGGGTCTGGGTGCTGCTAGCAATTCAGTGTTCTTTTTTCTCTTTGGTTTTATTTTCTGTTTGGGGAAGATTTTTTTCCGCTTTAATTTTTGGATTTAAAAAAAAATCAAGTGTTTAAGTGTAGGCATATGGGAAAGGGGAAGTAAGTTTTATGGGCCTCTGTCACTTTCAATTAAGTGGGGTGGAGAAGTGGCACTTTTACATAGGAGTTCAAATATGTAAACATGCTACCATATTGCACATGATTTGGGGTACTATTTCTCAGAATCCAGTTTCTGAACATGTTGCTTGCTATTGTGAGAAGCCCACTGAAATCAGTGGTTTCTGAATGTACTCAGCATATCAAAATCTGGGCACTTTTTATCCATCTAAAATAGAACCACATTTGAAAAATGTTGGTTTAATATGCATGCCATGAACAGAAACTACCTATTTCATAAGACCCAGCTATTGATAGTAAAAATAAGTTTTATCTCGAGTGTTCTTTTGATTTGTTCCTCCTCTTTGGTAAAATTTGGCTGAGAAGTTTTCTTCTTAAATTCTCTTACCAGGTCGGTTAGCTGGCTGAGTTAGTTTCTATAAAATAGAATGCAAAAGCAAAGGAGAGTACTTCTATGCATATATCTTCATTCAAAGAAGAGCAGCAATCACGAGTAGAATTTTATGAAGCAGAAAAAATACTCCAATTGCACTTTTTCAGGGAAGAACACTGCAAATCATGTAAGACACGTTAGTGAACCCTCTTGTATATAATTAGTTTTGTGAGACCTAGATACATTAAAAAAAAGTTGTGTATATAGATGTAGTAGGGATATATACTATGGAAAATGAAATGCAACCAATTGGAATTTAAGATGTCCTACCTGAATCTTCATACTAATTTCTGTACTTTTATTCACAGGGAGGAAAAAACAGTCAAGAACCAATCGCTCATAGCAAATGTTTCAGACAGGTAGTGCTGATACTTTAATTAGAACAGCTGAAGGCTAACCTAGACTGCTTTGATTTACAGAAAGCAGGAACATTTATTTAAATCTAAGGTTAATTGCTAGATAGATAGGTCATGTCCTCTTGCAGTTTACCTCTTGTGATAAGGGAAATGTTAGATTCCTTGACTTTGACTGCAACAGTCTTGGTAGACCTGGTGTTGATTGCTACTGCCAACATGAGAGTGGTGCCGCAGTACTGCAGCTCCAGTTCTTAATCAATGAGGTAAGGATATATTTACATTGTTTAGTGTTGTTGTCTTTTTTGCCCCCTCAAAATTCAGTTAAGTAATGCAGTGGAGAGTGTGTAACTTTCCAGTGGACCTCTTAGACTAGACCAAATAAAATGGCTAACATAAAGCTATAGGTTTGATTCAGTTGCCTTTATTTGCAATGAAATGTAAGTTTGTGGACAGAGCTATGTTTAACCTTATGAATAGAGAGGGGTGTTTAATAGTGTTGTTAGTGTGAAGTCAGACAGAAGGCAGGGCAGGGTGGCACCTGAGAAATTAACTGGTTTAGAGGCATACTCATGCATTCCATCTGACGAAGTAGGATGTCACCTATGAAAACTTACGCCTATCTGGAACAGTCTCAAAAGGTACCACCGTGCCCTGCCTTCTGTTTAATCTTATGAGACTCACCATGGAGTTATTCCTCAGTGTGAGTAAAATATGCCAGAAATAGGCTCTTTATACAGTCATATGGCATTGAACAGAAGGCAAGCAGTGTGTATATACATATGTGTATATATGCGTGTGTATTTAGATTTACTGCCTCACTGCATAGACATCTATCAAATAGAAATTACTGTTGACAGGTGAACTAATAAAAATGGCACTAACAGGAGAAGTTCTGCTTGGCAGAAATTTATCACTGGAGAACACTCCAAGATAATCTGCACTGATTTCTGCTTTTATTAAGGAAAGTGCTTTGGTATACATGCCCTAATGAAACTTGCCATAGAAGTAATTTTGGACTTGTAGTCCCTCTACCCTTTCCTCCTCACCTGCTCTTACCTCTGTCCTTTTGCTGCATCTCTTTTCCACCCCACTGATTCCTAATACATTTTCACTGGCGTCCAACAGCTTCTTATTTCCCCCCATGGTTCTGGGGAGCATTTGTAGCACAAGAGAGACCATCTCCCTTCTCCCATTTGGTGCCACAGCAGACAGGAGCAATAATGGTCATAGTATTACTCTCCAATCCCAGGGCAGTGCATACTTAGTCAGCTGGTATGGATGGCACATGCATAGTTCAACCAGGCCATAGGTTGGAATCTGCTTACTGCAGTTGGATTCTTCCAAGAATGCTAAACTTTAATAGGTCTCCATTGAACATGTGCAGGCTGTTTCCAAAGGCTTTGAATTTGGCCAAATGTAGGCAGATTTTCCTGGAGAAGGCAAAAGACACATTCATGACATAAAAGCAAACTTCTTACCAAATTTCAAGTCCAGACTGCAAAACATAGAGGTACTAGCAGTGGCAATGCCTAGAGGGTGCACAGGGGTGCATGTGTACCCCCTGAGAGTGCCGGTGCACCACATGACTGGCTGTACTCACCACACAGGCGATGGATGGGGGGGGCAGGTGGGAGTGCCGGTGCCCCTCCTGCGAGTGCCAGCCAGGGAGTGGGAGCACCATGGTGCTCCCAGAAGCAGTTGCAGCCACTTCGCGATCAACAGTGGGGGGACCCCCCAGGGGGCCCACCCCCAGTCACTGACCAGTTGCTGGGGGGGCACATGCCCCCCCTGACTAAGGTGGCACCGGTCACCCATGAGTGCTAGAACAATGAAATGGTTGCATGAGTTTTTTAATACAGGCAGACCCACAAAAGTTCCCCAAACCTTTTCCAGAGTGAAGGCAGAATTGCTTTACAATAAACACCACTAACAATCAGCCCAAGACAAACACTCAACAGTTAACATTTGGCAAAAAAATACAGGATCTTGTAATAGAAAGCATCAAGCAACCTTAATGTATAGGTATCACAGCCTATTAACAGATAGATATTTAGGGACAATAGTTTAATGTAGCTATTTAAAAGTGAGATTATACATGAGGCTTGAAGGCACCAGGCTCTTAGGCAGGTGAAAGAAAGTTATGTTCAGACTTTCCTACTTATGCTGAAGTTGGGACAATTACTTTTGCTTTATATGTTTAAATACATATAAAAAAGAATGTCACCTTACAAATGTGATTTCCCCC